GTCACGCCGGGCGTGCGCGAGGGTGGCGCGACATGGCTGCCTTGCGGCGGTGCGGGAGGAGGACGGCTGAGCCTTGCTCGGGGCGGCGCTTCCACGGCCGTGTGGTGCTGTTTTTGTGAAGGGTCTGAGCAGAAAATGGTGTGTTTACAGGGACAGGAAGGAGTGGGCGGATATCGAGCCCGTGCCTCAGAACGACGGACCAAATCCCGTGGTGCAGATCATCTACAGTGAGAAATGTAAGCTCTCCTATGCTTCGGCTGAGCGAGTTACCGAGCAAAAGCATTAGCGCCGTTAATGTGCAACACCCCGAGGGTTTCCCTGTGTTTTTCTTGGGCGACGCGTCACTGCGAGCAAAATAAGTTAATATATCTCCCAACAGGGCGTCAACCGTTATGGCCGCTATGTGGCCGTTATGTCTCACATTGCTAGAGGCAAGCTTGGAGATTCATTAGCCAAGCCTTTATTTTAAAGCCTTAAGGTTCAGGCCCGCATAGCAGACAGCATAGTTCATGAGGCAGTGCAGCTGCAGCCCACACGTGGAATGAAGACACGTTGAACTGCAGCGTGGGGACAAGCACCATGCCTAAGCAGCAAGGCGCCTTCCCCGCTCTCCCGGATGCTCTTCAGAAGGCACATCGTGAATTGAAGAGCTGGAAAAGTGTTTTACAAACCCTGTCATTACAGGTTTCAGTAATCAGTGGTGCCAGAGCAGTGTGAACAGCCTTCAGGAAGCTTCAGAGAGTTGTTAGCCTTAGCCCTTCACCAAGCTGCTTTCTCAACGGCTTGGGTAACGTGCTCTGTGTTATGTGTTTAGTCCGAGATGTGTATGATTACTTCCGGGCCGTTCTGCAGCGGGATGAAAGGAGCGAAAGAGCTTTCAAGCTGACTGCAGATGCCATCGAGTTAAACGCTGCAAACTACACAGTTTGGTGAGTGGTGATCTTGGCGTTATTGCTGTAATCTGCAGATGGCAGCCTCTTTTCTGTAAAAATTCTGTTAGTATAACCAGGGTGGGACACTTAATGTTTGCATCAAGGGGTATTGGAGGCTTCCAGTAAGATCTTTAAAGAGAGACCACTTTAAATATTTTCCGTATCTTTGTTTTGATTTATTTTCATTTGATTTTAAGACTGTTACCCCAGCAGGCGGGAAGAGCCTAGCTTTTAAAAATCAGATCTTAAGTCACTTACCTGATAATGTGGTCTTACCAAAATGCAGAAAGCACCTTCAGCTGGCTTCAAGAACAGGTTCAAAAGCCAAATAGCTGCTAGTTGTTGGGTTTCAGTTACTATTTGGGTAATTACTAACAGTGCATTTTAAGAGAAATGTCACTTTAATGTTTCGGTAGATAATGAAAAAAAAAATGTTTCTGATATTTGGGGAAGAACTTTTTATCCCTCGAGTGTTGTAGCCCCCTGTATGTTTTTTCTGCTAACTTGCACAAAACCAGAAAGTCTATATGATTTTAAGCATATAGCCATAGCTTCTGCAGCGACCTAACTAGTGCAGATAGGCAGGTTGGTTTGAAAATTAGGAGTGCTCTGGTCTTGGATAACATACTGTGTTGTAACCAGCTGTATTCCAGTCACTGCCCACTGTTCAGTAATTGAATGGTCTTTAACTGAATTGAGTATATGCTATATTTCCTTACGTGCCTTTTGACTTTCTAAGTGTTAAATAAACCTTTGTTCTTGGTTCTTCTTTGCAAATTTTACAAAAGCCTTGTCGCAATGAATGCTTGACTTTTATACAGGCATTTTCGGCGAGTCCTCTTGCAGTCTTTGGGAAAAGATCTCCATGAGGAACTTAAGTATATTACAGCTATTATTGAAGATCAGCCAAAGAACTACCAAGTCTGGTAAAGCCACCTTTTCTTTTTAGTTCTGTATGTTTCTGCAGATTTTTTTCCCCCTTGTCTACAGTATGTTGCAACTATTGGTCCTAAAAGTTAATCCTCCTTCCTTCTACCACCATGGACAGGAGTTAAAAGGAATTTGATCAATTTAACCAGCAGTTTGTTCCATGTACCAGCAATTTGTTCAAAACTTGTTCTAAATGTATAAATATGACATGCCAAATGGTCTTGTTTTATTTTAATTTTTAAATTATCAGAGTCTGACAGAACCAAATTGAAATAGCAGGTTTAATGACAAATGAGTAGGCTTTCCTTTGCTGGCACTTGGAGTTTGCTTACCTGCTGACTGTCACAAATGAATGCGAATTGAAGGAAAACAGCAGTGTTCTCAGTGCTTGCGATAATATATAGTATTATGAAATTTTACTTCGATGAGTGCTTTGGCCTCATCAGGTTTGAAAGTGGGAACTTAACAGCTCAGGTGAACGTAACTTTCTGAAATGAAATCTTTTACCAATATGTACATTTCATAAGAGTTTGCTGCATTATGTGTTTGTATCATATGTTTCTCAGGATCATGTGGAAAGTTTTGGGATATTTCATTTGAAATATTTAAAAGTTTTTTGGACTATTCTAAAAGTAGCTTCCTCTGCTTGTCATTAGGCATCACAGACGGGTACTGGTCGAATGGCTGCAGGATCCATCTCAAGAACTTGAGTTTATAGCTGACATTCTTAACCAGGATGCCAAGAATTACCATGCCTGGCAGCACAGACAGTGGGTTATTCAGGTATCTTATTCATGGAACTGTCTTTTACTAAATGTCTTCCTCGGCTTGTCAAGTTTTGCTTCTTTAATGCAACCCGAATGGAATTCAGCATTTTGATTCTGAAGTTGAAGGTAAAAAATGCCTTTCAGTGAATGGCAGGCCTTAAGTATAAACTTACCTTCCAGCAATTTATGAAGATTTGCAGTTGGCCACTTGCTCTTATGTGTGCGAGTTTCATAATTGGCTGATAACATTATTAGCGTCATGTTGCTTGTGCACATTTCCTTAAGTTTCTTAAAACTTTGGGCTGAGTTCTCTTTAAAAAAAAACCCTGTATCTAAAGTGCAAAAAGCTTAGGAACAAGTAGAAAGTTTTGGAAAAGAAAAGTCTTCTGACTGTGTCTTTCTTCCCACCTCCCCTTTCTTTTAGGAGTTCAAGTTGTGGGATAATGAACTGGAATATGTAGACCAGCTTCTGAGGGAGGATGTGAGAAACAACTCTGTTTGGAACCAAAGGCACTTTGTAATTTCCAACACCACGGGCTATGATGACCCAGCAGTCCTGGACAGAGAAGTCCAGTAAGTAATGTTGTTCATGCTTACACTCTACATTACACGTGAGTAAAGGAATGCTTTTACAGACCTTGACTCTCTTGAGCCTGTCCTGGTTTTAAAGCAGTCCTTGGGCACACTGTCATGGATGGCAAATCAGAGGGGCCTGGACACATGCAATATGTCCAGTACTGCCAACGTGTCTACCAGCTGTGCTTACCCTGGATAAGCTAATCTTGTTTGGCTGTCTTCCTGTCATGCTGTTTGTTTTGCAAACAAAACAACTGGCATTTTGCAGTCCACTGTTCAAAAGTGAATCAACCTGCATGTGAATAAGCTGTTTTTGCCACTTATGTCTTATATCCTACCCAGAAGACTGAGCTAGAAAGTTTGGAAGGAGGAGCACTGTTTGTCCTGCACTAGTGTAAGTGTGCTGAAACTATGCTAAATTGCTCTTTTATTTGTACAGTAGTTCCAATAATTTGATGAAAACCTGGTCAGAGGTTCTAGGGAGATGCATCACCTCTTCTAAGGCATCTCATACAGCTAGAAAAAGAAACAAACTTTCAGAAATATGTAATCAGCACAAAAATGACTGCCTAAGTGTTCACTAGTTTTAAGGAACCACTGATTTGTAAACTGTTCCAAAGCAGTATGTTTGTAATTGAAGACAATCTGGGCTTTCAGACATTTATATTATTGCAGACAGTGTTAAGAAAAATCGTGTCTGTCTTCCATATCTTGGGATGTGGATCAGGGTTGGCAGAGCAGGGCTACAAATATGAAACGATATTGGTAGAAGTAACAAAAACAAGGTACTGCAGTTTAAGTTATGCTTTGGAATAAAGACTGAGATTTCCCTTTAAAAAGTAAATAAATAAAAGGTTAAGTATATTGGTCATAGAAGATCCTCCATAATCACCGCTCCTGATGGATGTGTTTACATACTGATGTAAGCTAGCCTTTTCCACCTGAAATGTGGCTTCATGGTGTGAAACGTGGCAGGAACAGTTGTTGCTTTGTTTGGAGGTGGTTCCTCATTGCTGCTTCTCTTTACTGGAACTGCTGCAGGAGGCCGTGTGAGGTTAAAGCTCAGGCTGTGCCTTTCTGTGGGTTTTAACAGATGCAGCTTGTTTGGGTTCATAACAGAAGTTCTGCAAATAGGTACCTTGCAATAATAACAACATAAGCTGACATTGTGCTTTTATCACTCTAGCCCTTTCCAATCCCTCCGTGTTCAACTTCTTACTCTCTGAGCGGCAAGCACAAGCTATTCCCTTGCTGTGCTATGCCATGAGAATATCTCATATTACTTCTTATTTTGGGGGAAGAAGTTAATGAACTTAATTTTAAGTATTGTTCATTATTGTACAAAATCCAACAAGTAAAACACTTTGAGATTTAGAACAGTTCTCACAACACCTGCCCATTTGAAATCTGCTGTTATATGACAGGACACTGCATCCACAACCTCACAGAGATTATCAACAAAAAGATTCTGGAATATAGACTAGACAGAGGTGCATGGGAGAGAGCAGGGCACATCCAGGTCATTTCTAAATGTTTGCTTGAAATGTTTGCATTTGCCTTCACATCTTGTGTACCTTTTTCTCACAGGTACACCCTCGAGATGATCACAGCAGTACCACATAATGAGAGTGCTTGGAACTACTTGAAAGGGTGAGGCAACCTTATATGTGGGGCAAAGAGGGTCCAAAGTAGTGGACCCCTCATGTCCTCTGTCTGTGTTCTGACTTTGAAAAACTCTGTATTGTTTCAAGAGTATGGAGCAGGAAGTAATAAGTATGCAGGAAATAATAACTAATTTCTGCTAAGAGATTACACTTAGCAGCTGAGAGTGACTATACTAGCTTACTGCAAATTGCAGCTGTGTTGTTGCTGCGTTGTATTTATTTTGCTTGCTTTCTGCCTCATTTGTTTTTGCATCTCTTAGTGTAAAAGTGATCACCAAAGAAATCAGTCATGACTAAAATAAATTCTTAGCACCGAATTTACTAGCAGTATTTTTCAAGCTTATTAACCTCTGCTCTAGGATTCTTCAGGATCGAGGTCTTTCAAAATACCCAAACCTATTAGAGCAGCTGTTGGATATACAGCCCAGCCACAGTTCACCCTATCTGATTGCCTTTCTTGTGGACATCTATGAAGATATGCTTGAAAATCAGTGTGATAACAAGGAAGAAACACTAAACAAGGCATTAGAGGTAGGTTTGGTTTTTCTCTTCAGAGTTAATTTGTATTGCTTTCTTATTGTCAGACCACATGGGATTAGTTTGGCAGTGGTGATATGTTAATCACAGCTCTGCAAAGTGCTGGACTTGAAAGACATAATTTCTGTAGCCCTATCTATCTAGCTATAAATACTAACTTGCCAGTTATGAAATCATCATTGTAGTTTTTCTTCACCTGGTAGTAAAGTTTGTAATATTGCATAAAGAAGAAGAGAAACATGTAGAGTTTCCAGTGCCAATGTAGTGCCACAAACTCACTTTTTTCTTTAACAGATCTTGTCCTCGAAATACCTGTATTTAAATAGAATCTCAAATTCCCTTTGCACTTCTTAGGTCTACTTGAGAAAGCTGACACTAACTTGAAGGCCAGCTGAAAATCCGAGGGCATCAGTAAGGGATGTCAGGCACCATTCCTCACAGAGCATAAATGACTTCTGAAACGTTGCACTTCGTGGTTCCTATTCAGGGAACTCTTTGCTGTATAGTTTCCAAGAAACTCTTGATTCATTTTTCTTTGAGCCAAACCCGAATGAATGTGATTAGCATCACAGATCTTGCCCGGAGCTTGCATGTTCCAAAAACCAGCTTTACCAAAAATTTTACTTTCTTTCGTTTTGGGACCAGTGTCTAAAGGTGAAATTACACCTCCCAGCTTCATGGGAGGTGTTAATTTTACTCCACTGAGTTTGGCTCTTGCAGATACTCAGGCCTTGAAGCTGCTACTGCCAAACTGTTTTTGCTAAGCAAGACATTAATACATGAAAATTGACTAGACCATCTGTGGGCAGTATTGATACGCTGTGAATTCAGTACGTCGTGACCAGCAAGCAGGCTTGACTTCTGTGCCTGGCTTCAGCAGATGCAGAAGTATCTACACAGCAGCAGCTCTAACAAGTGGTGAGAGTTAGACTTAAGCATTCAAAATCCTTTGGCAAGCCTTCTAAGAGAAGGCCCACGAGGAAGCAGCTCCAGTCACTGCATTTGAAGTACTGAAAATAAAATAACAGACTGTCTGACTCGTCAGCTCAGGAGGTGACCAGCTTACCCCCTGGGTGCATCTTGCCCCACAGTTGCATCTTCTGGCAGGTTTCTGGTAATGGCTGATATTAATGGTTTCTCAGAACGTGCTTTCTCAGGGTCTGCATCATTCCCTGGCATGGGCACTGCTGTTCCAGTCACAGTCAGATCTGGTGGCCACAGGCAAAGCCTGTCTTGGTTTACCCAGTTTCCATTCTTCAGTATTGACTTACTACTGTTCAGTTGGCTTCAGTTGGCTACTGTTGGCTTGTTAGGCTGGAGGAAAAATGAAGAGTAATAGTGGAAGTTATAGAAGAAATAATTACAACTGAAATGGGGCTAGAAAGAGATGTTTATATGCTGTCAAACTGATGGATGGCTACCGCAGTGGCTACCAGTTGAAGTTGGTGTTAGTTACTAGTTTCTAGTCATTGAACACCCGTGAAACTTGTGAATAAAACATATTTTATTGGTACAAAAGGAGTTTCTGAGGCTGCCTTACCCGTGTATTTTATGAAGACAATTAGGGATTGCTTAATTTTCATCTAACACTTCCATGTCTCAATTCTTCCTCAGCTGTGTGAAATTCTGGCTAAAGAAAAGGACACCATCCGAAAGGAATACTGGAGATACATTGGAAGATCCCTCAAGAACAAGCACAGCTCGGGGACTGAACAGAGCTTGCCGACAGACAAGCAGCAGTAACCCAACATGGAAGAAAACGGTGTCAAGCTCTCAAGATGTCCTAAAGGAATACCAAGCCAGGGAGACATCAGGCTGTATAAAACACTGTGTAGTTTTCCCTGATAGTGAGGTATTGTAACAGAAAGTGGAGTGCTGCAGCCATAGTGAAGAAGCAGACGTGGTCTCTTGGGTCACTGCTGCCACTGTTGATGGATGTTGGTGAAAGTACCAAATACAAGACTTATTTCATAGTAAATAGCAAGTTTAACTATATATATGTATTTATTAAAAGGTACTAAACCAATTTCTCACACTCTGGCGTGTCTGTTCTAGGGTCCCCTCTCCCTAACACTGTCCTGTGAGACTCCACAGTGATGACTGCAAGTAACTTGGTTTTAGTGGATATAAAGTAACCTTGTTCTCGTGACTGCAAGCAGGAGTTGCAGTTGTTGCTGTGTAGGGGAACAGCTCTGCAACAGCTGACAACACATGTTATTGTATGAACTAACAGCTACTGTCATTTTGTAATAAAAACAAATGACTTAAATACTTGTCTGAAATGTTTTGGTGTGTTGCTGGGTTTTGTTTTTTTGTTTGTTTGTTTCTGGACGTGTGTGGTGTATGCTTTTTGAATGTTAGCCCTTTTAGAGGTTTTAGACTTTCTTGCATTAATATATATTTTGCAATGGTGTATTCTGATCGAGGTATGTTAAATATACTACATATAGAAATTGGCGACGCACGGTTGGGAAGAATGCATTGAAGATCTTGCAAAATCTGCTCAGATTCCTGGAATCCTTTTCAGCTAACTGAAAATTGTCGGCAAGTTTCTTCGCCTTTGTGTATATATTTATAAGCAGACAAAACTGAAGTAATCAATTGGAACATACTGTAGCTGATTTTACTACATTTTCTTCACAAAACTGAAAGGGAAGGAAGTGGGCTGTTGGGTAACTTTCCACAATAGATGCCTCAATGTCACTGTTCTGTAGGATTTCATTTTTCCCCATGTATATATTCAGTTGAGAAGTTGTGGGTTTTTTTATTTTTTTCCTTAGCAATTGAAATTTTACCTACACTGCGTAACTGCTCAGTAAGTGCACACCTGCAAAGGCTGCTGCATCTGACTTGTTTTCAGTAAACAGCCATTATAAACTGTATTCTTAGCATAGAGTGCTTGTCTAAAATGACATACTTCTGAACATGGAAGGAACAAATGAGTAATGGTATTTGTACCATAAGCGAAATGTCTAATACCAACCATGAGAAGCCGAAGTCACAGTTAAACCATGCTGCAGATAACTTTTGGAAGCTTAAACCAGGCTTAGTCGATGCATCCTTTAAAACAGCTCTTGGGTAGTGGAACTGGTAAATAAAAGCCATATAATTTTTGAAATGCTTTCCTAGCAGTAGAGAAAGCATTCTAAAGTGACACTTTTAAGTGAAAACTTAAAAGGGACATGAACTTCAAGTTTTTTTTTTTTTTTTTACTGTATTTGAAGTTCCGGTGGAGAACCACCTACCAAAACATGTTTTTGTGCAGTTAAATTGTTCCTTATTGAAAATACACTAAATTTGGAAGGCTGTGCCTCAGTTGTGTGACAGCTCGGATGTACTCGGATGAGCCGTCAGAACTGGAAGTGACAGGCTGCCTTACTACAGCTTGCAACTGTAGCTGCCCAGCTTTTAATTTTAAAAATGGCTCTGAGACAGAACCTCATGGAATTAAAAGCTTGACATTGGGCAAAAAGAATAATGAAAGCCGAATCTCGTAGTAGGAAGCAGTGGATTACCTTAACCTACAGGTATTGCTGCTGTTCCTACCTACTTGTGATCGGGTGAAACATGCAGCTGATCTGTTGTAAGACCTCATCTGTACAAGAGAAAATGCTGTTGTTATTGACTGCATGTGGTGATGTGACTGCTGTGTGCAAATTTATTGCAGCAGCATCTGTAATAAAAATCCTCAGGTACAAATGGAAACTACTGGTACAACTATCCCTTGTACGTGTGATTGCATCCGGGAACAGAGTATGGACAATTACTAAAGCATGCAAAGTAATTTCCTGTGCCTGCTTTCACTGGAAGGTTTTTGGTGTCTTTGCTTAGTGTCTATCAAAGCTGTTATTGACTCCCATCAGTGACTCCCGTCTCTGTGACTTGCCTGACAAAACCATGCAAGCCCTTTTCTGTGCAGAGCAAAACCACCTCAGCACAAAATGCTCCCGTCGGTGGCTGTCTGGCCACGCTGAGGCAAGTGCGAGCATGCTCTGCTGGTGGGTCTTCGGTGTGGGAGCAGTAACCTCCAGCAAGGAGAAAGTTTGTAGTTAATCCCTCTGGCCATGGGAAACGCTTCCTTCCATGTGCGAGCAGGCAATTCACACAGCGCAGCAGCGACCAGGGGCTCACAGAGAGCTCACCTGCCCCAGCAAGAGCACAAAACATTTTAAAGCTTTTAGGGTTTTGTTTGTTTGTTTTCAATACGTGTGTAAACGAGCCATCCTTGGCAGGCTCACCCGAGGGCCTCGTGGGCACCCGTGGACTTGCCTACGTGCAAGTTCAGAACAGGCGGTGGAGGCACCGCAGTTGTGGTTTTCCTGCCCTGCGTTCGTGCCTGGAGACTATCTTCCTTAAAAGCCCGAGCCACATGTCTCAGATGTTATCCCAAGCAGTGGGTGCAATACCAGTACCATGAAAAATGTTCTCCAGCCTGGCCCTAACCCTTTTCCCAACATCAGAGCCTTCGGCTGGCTGCTGTTATTGTGGGATGAGGTGTGCGCTCTGCAGTTGCCCTTCTAAGACTCTGGTTTTAATTTGTGGTTAACCCTGTGGCTTCTGGATTGGCAGCAGGTTTCCCCAGTATAGCTTCTGCTTAAGGTAGATTTATTTGGAAAACTTGAGTAATACAATGTTTGGCTTATTTGGGGCAAAACTATTAATGAGGCAGTACACCATTATACTTTTTAGTCCACAGGTGTCCAATATGCTCCAATATATTTTGCCTCTCCTTAAGGCTCTAACATGAGACTTTTGGCACGATACATTCTAACAGTAACAGGTAGAAAAATGATATTTGAATATAACAGCAATAATATAACAGCCCTTTCCAGGTTCTTTCCAGAACCTGACAGTCTGGGCTGGTATCTACAATTCTGTCTTATGATTGGCACTGCTGCTTCAAAATACTCTGTACAGCTGAACAGCATGTGAAATCTCTAAAGTGGATGGCAAAATTTGCCTCTGTAAGTCATTATCTGTTCAAGGGTTCAAAAGGAGCAAGCTGTCCCTGCTAGAAATCACAGGTTTCCATTCATCTCTACTCTTCCCCTCCCACACCTTTTATCTTATTTAATGCACCACTTGACTTCAGACACAAGAAATCTTGGAAGATGGGAGCCTAACCCTACACCAGAAGTGATGCTCTTGACACCTTTGAGAGAGAATCACTTCTACAAGTTCAGAACCTACTTCTACCTACTCAGAAAAAAAAATACCTTGCCTTCTGCTGCTTGAATAGACCCTGAATTTGAAATATATATATTATATATATATATATATCTTGCTATATATACATATATACACAATGGTATATAAAAAAGCATAAGGATTTATTTAGAAACCTCACCTCAGCATGTCTCTGTGAACTATCCTAGGTAAGCTCCTTGAGGCTAGGGCTGTGTGCTTCACTATAGATTTCAATTACATCATTTTTAGGTCACTCTCAATTATCTTTTAAAAGTGAGAGCAAACTGGAGAGGTGCTTGAGAGCTGATGAAAAAAAACGAAAAAAAAAGCTAATGTCACTCCAGTTTTCAAAAAAAAGCAGGGGGGGGGGGGGGCAAGAAGGAGGACTCAGGGATCTAGAGGACTATTAATCTCCTTCATCCCTGAAAACAACTCATCCTGGACACCATTTCCAAGCACATGAAGGACAAAAAGGTGATGAGGAGAGATGCTCTCCTCTACGCAGCCCTGGTGAGGCCGCATCTGGAGTCCTGTGTCCGGGTCTGAGCTCCGCTGGGCAAGAGGAACATGGGGTTCCTGGAGGGAGTCCTGCAGGGATGATGGAGGGACTAGAGCATCTCTGTGAGGAGAGGCTGAGAGAGCTGGGGCTGCTCAGCATGGAGGAGACTGAAGCAAGGTCTTATCAATGTGTTTACATATCTGAAGGGAAGGCGTAAAGAAGATGGGTCCAGCCTCTTCTCAGTGATGGCCAGTGATGGGATGAGATCAAAGGGCACACACTGAAACACAGGAAGGTCTGTCTGAAAATGAGGACCTGCGAGGGTTGACTGTGGGGGTGACAGAGCCCTGGCACATGTTGCCCAGAGAGGTTGTGGTATCTCCCTCCTTGGAGACATTCCAAAGCATCTGGACACAGCCGTGGGCAATGTGCTCTAGGTGACCCTGTTTGTGCAGGAGGGTTGAACCAGATGATCTCCAAAGGTCCCTCCCAACCTCGACTCTTCTGTGATGCAGCTCTGCAGTGCTTTACCCATGATTGGTCTCTCAGAAGCCGTGGGATACTGGATGTGTGGACTTTGCGGGGGGAAAGGGGTTGTTAACCACTAGATGGCAGTGTGAAATTCACCCTGGGTTCATCCAGACTGCGCATGGCCAAGAAGAGGTGTTACTGGGAATGCTCTTTCTCCATGCAACCCAGCCTCCCACCTGCCAAGAACAGAAAAGCAGCTGCTTGGTAAGTCCGTATGTAGCCACGCAGGGGCTTGAGCACAGGCCTTCGAACTGGATCTCATCCCTGTGGCATCATCACTGAACTGGTAGTGTTAACTGGAGGGTTTTAATTAACAGAAATGGTGTTTCCACTTCTGAATGTGGAAACCTTGTATCAGATTTACTGATATTTGTGTATAAATACCTGAAGGGAGACAGTAAAGAGGATGGAGTTGAACTCTTCTTGGTGGTGGCCAGTGACAGGGCAAGGGGTAATGGCTACAAGTTGAAACCCAGGCAGTTCCACCTCCATGTGAGGAAGAACTTCTTCCTGTGAGGGTGACAGAGCCCTGGAACAG